ATAAAATCTAATTACAATTGTGAACAAATGTGAACCTGAAAAAGCCAATTCTTCAGATGGATTGAGTGGCTAACTGGGCCTAAATTTTAAATAGAAGGCTGGGTGCAGTGGCTCACACCTGTAATGCCAGCAATTTGGGAGGGTTGCTTGAGCCCAGGAGGATTGCTTGAGCCCAGGAGTTCAAGACTAGCCTAGACAACATAGCAAGACCTCATTTCTACAAAAAAATTGTAAAAATAGCAGGGAGTGTTGACAATCGCCTGCAGTCCTAGCTACTCAGGAAGCTGAGGTACAAGATCGCCTGAACCCAGGAAGTCGAGGCAGTGCCACTGCACTCCAGCTTAGGCCACAGAGTGAAGAATTTGTAGAAATTTTGTTTTCTCCCTTATATAAATACCTATATAATATTCTTAATTTGCCTCTTGGCCTACAAAACCTAAAATATTTACTATCTGACCCTTTATAGAATAAGTTTGCTGATCTCTATGTTATATTTATCTCTGAACATTCCTATACTTAATTCTGAATCTTCATGGAGTTAAAATATGTTCTGTCCAGTAAGGAAACAATTGTATGTATCATTGCAAACAAAATGGGGCTATCCTACCATTTAGTTTGGAGGTTGTCTTCTCAGCTTGCTAATTCTTTTCACGACCTGGGAGGCCTCTGGCCAGATGATAACAAGGTGGACCTTTTCTCATAGAACCTAGGTCAGTGGCCTCCAAATTAGGATGGTCTCATAGTTATTCCAAGTATGTACATATTCCCGATTTCTTCCATTCACACAATAACACCACCTCCATCCAAGTGGCTGTCTCGTGATAGGATCTTGAAATTTTTTTACTCTTAAGAAACCTGATTTCCCCTGTTAAAACCTAAGGCCATTCGAGTTTGATGAAATCCTGCTCGTAAATGCAAATCAAAACCACATTGAGATACCACCTAACCCCAGTAAGAATGGTTATCATTAATAAACAACAACAGATGCTGATGAGGATGTGGAGAAAAAGGAACACTACTACACTGCTGGTGGGAATGCAAACTAGTTCAACCTCTATGGAAAACAGTGTGGAGATTTCTAAAAGAACTAGAAATTTACCTTCCATATAACCCAGCTGGAAATATACCTGGAGGAACTCAAATCATTAGACACAAAAGATAACTGCACACGCATATATACTGCAGCACTGTTCACAATAGCAAAAACATGGAACGAACCGTGCTGCCCATTAAAACTAGACTGGATTTTTAAAATGTGGTACATATACATGATGGAATATTACACAGCCATAAAGAAGAACAAACATATGGACTTTGCAGCTACTTGGATGGATTTAGAGTCGATCATACTCAGTGATCTGTCACAGAAACAAGGAACAGAGTACCACGTGTTCTCACTCATAAGCGGAACCTGAACATTTACCATAATACTATAAGAAAGGGATTGGCAGTAATGGGATACTGCCAGGGTTGGGGGTGGAGAACACAACATCAATAAGGGTACCTGATTTCAAACCAAGCAAAGTAGGAACCAAAGGGAGACCCAAACTTTACCTGCACAATGACTTGTATACCTAATCCTGAATTGCACCCCATATCTTTAAAATAAAATATTTTTAAAACCCCAAAACAACAAAATAAAGAAATCTCATTCTTTTTTTTCATATGCATTCTGTTTCTTAGATCACAACTCCATCTGATGTGTGGCCACAATTTCTAAACCTGCCCTACTTACGGGAACGTTCTTACACCCTTACCATAGTGGAGGAAAGAGACCATGCTCCCCTGAAGCTGCACTAGCACAGCAGCCAATGGCCACATGTGGCTACTGAAATGTGCCTCATGCTAACTGAGATGTGCTGTTAGCATCAAATCCTATACATCAGATTTCAAAGATTTAAAGATTTAGGAAAAAAAAAAAAAAAAAGGCCAGGCACAGTGGCTCACGCCTATAATCCCAGCATTTTGGGAGGCTGAGGTGAGAGAATTGTCTGAGCCCACGAATTCAAGACCAACCTGGAAAACTTGGCAAGACCTCGTCTCTACAATAAATCACAAAAAAAAAAATTAGCTGGGCGTGGTGGTGTGTGCCTGTAGTTCCAGCTTCTTGGAAGGCTGAGGTGGAAAGATCACCTGACCCCAGCAGGGCTGAGGCTGTGATGGCCGTGAGCATACCACTGCACTCTAGTCTGGGCGACAGAGTGAGACTCCAACTCAAAAAAAAAAAAAAAAAAGGTTAAACAGGCCGTGTGACAGTGTGAGAACTTAATTAAATTATAGGACACAGGCCGGCTCGGTGGCTCAGCCTGTAATCCCATGCCTTTGGGAGGCTGAGGTGAGTGGCTTGCCTGAGCCCGCGGGTTCGAGACCCGCCTGGCAGCGAGACCTCATCTCTACATAAATTTAAAAAAAAA